CTCGACGAGGAGAAATGACAGGTACTCTACCAAGGTATATCTCATAAACTGGATAGAAACCTCACAAAGGAAAGGGAAGTGTTTTGTTTTTATCTTCACAGCAAAACTCATCTCCAGAAGTCAAAGGACACTACATGGGTAGATACTTAAGAAAATAAGGTAGCTATAACCATCAAACAAAAGGAATGTGTCATATGGTAAAATATGTATTAAATCTATTTCTCTTTACTTCCTAGTCCCCATTCAATTAAATCAATGCTGGATTTAGAGTTGGATTTGGCTTTCCTCCTCTAAAATCCAAGCTCGTTGTTTAATTAAACTTTCGAGTTTCTGTATTATATCAAGAAGCCAATTGATGTAATACAGAATAAGAGAAGAATTTGGGGACTGTCTTTTGTCTTTTCTTGGCTCTTTCTCTCAAGGTGTACACCCTCTCATAATTGTTATTTTCCCATGGTTACCTTTCCCAGAATGCATACATATACAAGCAAACATTTCTCTGCTAACATTTAATGTTTGAGTCCCACACAGCAAATGAAGACCCACCTGACAGCAATCCCTGGAAGTTGAGGATTTCAACCTAGATCTTCAATCAAGCAAATCCCATCTAACATGGACTGGATGTAATCCATTTGAGACTTTCACTATACTAATCTTTTCTTCCTACAGGACCACGCGAGGAAATCATCGTCCCATTGCAGCAGGAAGTAGCTTGGAGAATGCTATGCCCCCTTTCCCCCATTGTTGTCACTAAGGATAATGTATACTTTCCTGTTGTTTGGGTTGGGATTGGAAGGAGGTGTTCAATCTTGGACACCTTTCTGATGACTTTAGGGTTTAGTTAAAATAGATAGTTAGGAGGTGACATAAGCAGATTGTTGTATCTTCTTATATTTTACCTTTATACTGTTAAGTTTTAATCCTCTTTTAGACTAAAAGGGGAATTGTAGGGGAAGCTGTAGCCACGCCTTCTTAGGGGCTGTAACAGGGGCACCTGAGCAGGCTTGTGAGGGCGTGGTCAGAGTGAGTAGGGGGATGCGTTTTCGGTTTCGGTTTCTCTTTGCTGTACAGACTACCACCCGCTGGCTGGTTCGCTCTGTAAGTAAGGCTTTTCCCTATTAAATACCCTTATATTTCTACCTGACTCCGTATTGGTAATTTCCTACTATAGTCAGCTTTCTCACTTTCAGCTCACACTTTAGAGGAGAGGTCTCTACTCCTCCTCCTGGAACCACCCTTACCGAAGAGAACTGTTTCCCACTACCCAGGAAACCCTTGTTGGGTTTCTACCTGTAGTGTCCAGCCCTGAAAAGTAGGGGAGGGGCAAAACAGGAATGCTTTTTTTCTTTTTTTCAGATTTATTTAATATGTATACAGTGTTCTGTCTGCATGTATGCCTGCACACCAGAAGAGGGCACCATACATATCTCATTACAGGTGGTTGTGAGCCGCCATGTGGTTGCTGGGAATTGAACTCAGGATCCCTGGAAGAACAGGCAGTGCTCTTAACTCTGAGCCATCTCTCCAGACCCCAGGGAAGCTTTTTCTACTTTACTGCTGGGAAGGTCTTCCTTCCCCCAGACAAGAGAATGCCAGTGCAGTAGCAGTAGCCAACCCCACCCCCAAGAGATTTGGTCTCCAAAGTCCCAGAATATTCATGGGAGAACATCTGTGCTCTTCATGGAACCAACTCTCACTTACTCTCCCTGAGTTTTGGAATTTGGGGGTTCTCATTTTCCACCTCCTTTCTCAGGAAGGTTTACTGGGGAGGTTCAAACCCTTGCCCAGGAGTAAGCCCCAAGCACAGCTGTCAGCACTTCTCACAGAAGCTGTTAAGGACCAATTAACTACGGCTCAGCAAGGCGAACATCAATGTTCCCAGCAAGGTTTTCCTGTAACTGAATGAGTCCACTGTCTGCTAAGAAAGGTTTACTGCTAGAATCTGGTGGGGTGGCCAAGGCCCAGGGATCCAGGAGCGACAGTCTACCAACATTCTTTGTCATTGTGCTGCCAGGTCTAGGTGAATATTTTTGACAATACATTTTCCAAAATGAGGATAATTAACAAATAAGGAACTAGGTCCCCAAGAGACCATTTTTAGTTAAGAGCTTCCCAAAGCAAAATGCAAATGACTAAATGTGCAAATAAGTCTTCCATGTATAAATGTAAATAGTGCCATCTATTGAATATCTCTAGTAACACCAACAAAGTTCATTGTAAAACATTATATGCACACACCTGCCATAGCATGTGTGTAGAGGTCAGAGGACAATTTCTAGAGTTGTTTTCCACCTCCTATGTGGGTCTTTATCAGCTCAGACACCTTGCCAGCCCCTTTGTAAAATATTGTATCTGACAGTTGCAGGTAAAAACTGGTTTTTCCATAGGAGGTGGTAGCCCACACCTTTAATCCCAGCACTTGGGTGTCAGAGGCAGGTGGATCTCTGTGAGTCAGAGCCCAGCCTGGTCTACAGAGCAAGTTCCAAAACACAAAGAAATCCTGTCTCAAAAACAAAACAAAACTGATACTTCATAATATGTTGGATTTTTATCTTTCTATTTAGTGAATTACCCTGATATATGAAATATAACAGGAATTCTGACTCATATTTTCTACCATGCCCAATTAATTCACATACTATTATATTTTATTTGACTTCTGAACAGTGAGCTATGATTTTACTTTGTCCTAGCATGTCATCTATCCTTGGAAAGAACTTGATTTCAGGAGCTGGGGTTATAGAGAACAACACAAAGGTCAAGGCCTCCTTCAGAGTTACTGCAGCAAAATCACCAGCACTCAGAATCCAATTTCTATAGTTAAAGCGTTTTATTAAAAAGGCTGGCGAGATAGCTCAATGGACAATAGCTATCAGGAGATAGCCACCGGCCTGCCATCCCTTGAGCCCCCGCATGATGGAAGGACTGAGCTGACTCCCACAAGCTGTCCTCTGATCTCTACATAGACACACATGCAATAATGCAATACATTTTGTTTTGTTTTGTTTGGTTGGTTTAAAGATTTATGTATGAGTGCTCTGTCGGCATGTATGAACACTTTATGCCAGAAGAGGGCATCAGATCCCACTATAGGTGACTGTGAGCCACAATGGGGTTGCTGGGAACTGAACTCAGGACCTCTGGAAGAGTAGCCAGTACTCTTAACTGCAGAGCTGTCTCTCCAGCCTCTTTTTAAACAGAAGAGCACAGAACTGACTGAAGAGAAAAAAAAAAAAAAAGCAAACTTGGTTACCAAGATCCAAAGTTGACTCAAATAAAACCCATGTGCAGCCTGGGCTCATGGAGAAATTAGGATGGAAGCCTTAACTGCATTACGAATTCTTTCTTTTATGCACGATTCATGCATGCTTTATTTTCTTAGCACATTTGTTTCTGTGGTTACTGTGGTCTCCTTTGAAGCAACAGGCAGAGAAGGGAGTAAGTTCTCCCTTGGATGACTGGTCCTGATTACTAAGGAAAAGTAACTGCGCTGCCACTCCACAGTGAAGTAAGGAGGAGTATCTGGAACACAGGCTGTCCCATAGAGTGCATGTATTTAAAGTCAATGGAAATGACTTTGGTCACTGTAGCAGGTAATGACCACAACCAGCTGAAGTGGTTCCTTTGGGGAAGTGAATACAGAATGGGAAATGAAAGGAGGTGAACAAACGCCAGGTGGTGGGTCTGGGAAATGGCACAGTAGGTAAAGGCATTTGCCACCAAGCCTAATGATCTGAGTTCAGTTTTTGGGACCCACATGATGGCAGCAGAGAGCCAACTCCCAAAAGTCCTCTGATCTCCACACACAAGAGGAGGCATGCTCATACCCACACACAGACAACACACACATGAATACAAAATTTTAAAAAATGTAATTTAAATTTTATGTGTTTATTTACTTTTTCTTTCTTTTCGAGACAGGGTTTCTCTGTGGCTTTGGAGTCTATCCTGGAACTAGCTCTTGTAGACCAGGCTGGTCTCCAAATCACAGAGATCCGCCTGCATCTGCCTCCCCAGTGATGGGATTAAAGGAGTGTGTCACCACCGCCTGGCTATTTTAAAATTTTTAATGAATTGTTCTATTTTTAATTCCCTCCCTCCCCTTCATCCTTCCTCCTTCTCCTTTCCTTTCCTGTGAGTGCAGATGCCTCCTCAGTCCCCAAAGAAAGTGTCAGAAGTTACAAGCAGTTGTGAACATCTGATGTGGACACTGAGATTCTAACTTGGCGTTCTCTGCAAGAGCACTAGGTACTTTATGGAGGCCAGAATAGGGCATCAGATACCCTGGAACTGGAGTTACAGTTGTGAGGGGCTGTGTGGATGCTGGAAACCGAATCCTGGTTCTCTACAAGAGAAGCCAGTGCTCTTAACCACTGGTCTATCTTTCCAGCCCCTTTTTATCTGGGAAGATGAGCAGGCAGTAGAAAGAGGGACTAACACAGTCTCATCCCCCATAGCACGGTCCTCTCCCTTGCCACTCAAACTGCGAAAGACCCGCCCCGTCCCCGTGGCCACGCCTCCTAAGGGTCAGTCCTGCCCCGCGTGGCTCCGCCTCCTAAAGACCATCCCCTCTCCGCGCTCGCGACCCCGCCTCCCGTGTGGCCCGGCCTCTCCCCGTGTAGCCCGGCTTCCGAACCTCAGCCCGCCCCATCACGCGTGGCCTCGCTTCCGAACCTTAGCCCCGCCCATCCCACGTGGCCCCGCCCCGTCCCGCGTGGCCTCGCCTCCTCCC